ATCTCGCGCTGAGGCTATGTTAATCTGGTTGGTGCGGTGGATTTCTATCGTGCGATCTTGAGGATCATGTGGCCGAAGTTGTCCATGCCCAACTGGCTGCCCAAAAAAGAAGCTAGCCCAGTCGGGCAGATCAGATTCGATCCCCGCATATGCGGGGTGAGACTTCGCTGTCATTACCTATTGGGCTTAGCTCCTATCAAGGGAGATGTAAGGACAACTCTTCCATTTGAAGAGTTGCACTTCATCCCCATTAGGTTGAGTACTTCAAGTTACCGCTTGACAGACCCGAACTGCCTGAAGTTTCAAGGGGTTGTTGTCCAAGTCTCGCTCCCCACGGGCTTCGGTAGGTAGGTCGGACCGACTTTCCCGACGATAGGCACGAGATCGAGTTCTGCGAGGTACCAAATTACTAAACCATCAGTATTTGGCCCAAGTATCAGTCGTGGAAAAAAATAGAGTAGAAACATTTTTAGTCAGATGAATTTGGGCGTTCCTATACTGACTCGTACATTTCATAAAATCATGGCTTGTTAACGTGCACGACTTTAGGAGGTACCTACCACATTTTTCGTTCCCCCGGACCTCGAATGAATTTCGACTGAAAAGGAAGGCCGATTTGGCTTGCGCGTTAACGGTCGCCCCAACCCGTATGTACTAGTGGTTTAAGGTTAGGCATCCGCCCAACTCATTCCACCTTGGCCTCAACGAGGACATACCTTCTACCGTTCAACCCCCAAATCGCACAACTTTAGCAATCGCACGCTCCTGCTTTTAACAAGGTGGTCTAACTTATTAATTTTTGCGGCCACGACCGTAAACCCAATTCGGCCATTCTTTTTTGCCACTTAGGGTCTGAATCACGTGGTTGCTACGCCACACATCCATATTTTAAGTCGGATAAGTTTAGGTGTAGCATCCCAATGACCGCGCGTCCATGTGGCCCTGCCAGAAGCGGTGTCGAGCGCATCGGCTCCCACCTTTTTTTGCAAAGGGCAGGAGCCCTCCTGGCCATGTCACACAAGAGTAAACAAAACAAAAACAGAGACAACTCTGGGGTCAAAAAAAGTTGGGAGCCGATGCGCTCGACAACGGGATACATCACCCATCACTATCGAACGTCGACAAAGGTTTGGACTCGAGTCCAACGCTTTTCACTGGGCTTTTGCAGTCATAGTTCGGGTTTGAATAATCTTTGGCCGGTGCGTTAATCTCATCAAGTCATTTATTTCAAAAACTTCCTTTAAAAAGGTCAGACAGCGCTGCACATAAGAACATCTGAGCAGATACCCTTGTAAGGGTTTTTGCTCTGACACTGGTGACCTCGCTCATAATAGGCGGATGCATTTACCACTGCAACCCTAACAAGGTGTTCAAAACGGAATTCATACGGGAATGACATTCCAGCACCTTTGCACCAAGGACTTAGGGGCTCGTTAAACACTCCTCGGGTATGTAAAATGCCCGAGGACGTGATCGTTCCACCTATCCTCGGGGAAGATTTTTCCAAAAAAATATAAAAACATTTCCTCGAGGTATCCTTGTAGCATCCTTGTGGCCCAACCGTTTGTCGCCGTAGTGCAAGGGACCTCACGAGGTCCCTCGGGTTTCGAGGATCCACAATAATCAGAGCGACGAAGACACACGTCGGCGACAACTTCCTTTTTCGGCTGGTCCATTTGGTGTTCCGCCAACGGGTGCACGAACATCTTCGGCCGTCGTTGTCGGTCCTACGCCCAACGGGTCGCCAACGACTAACGTTGGAGGAACACGCGCGAGGGGCCCATGTAGCACTTGCGGCTGATGTCGCCATGCTCCTACGGGGTTTCCTGCCAGCGTCGACGGGGTTCAACGGTCGGCAAAATTAAATATTTTGCCCGACGTGACTCCAGCAGCCCAACCAATGTCGGTGATAGATAACGTTATAGTGCGTCTATCGTATGCTGTCCTCTTCCGTTTGCCTCCTTCACTGTCACCGTTTGGTGGACCTCCACCGTCGTCGTCAAGTTGCGGCCCTGTCCTGTGCGTCGTTGATGGCCGACCTCTATCGCAGGCTTGCTGTGCTGCTCCTGGTCGTTATTTTGCTTGTCGTCGTCGTCTTGTTCCACGTGTGCATCAGCCTTAAGGTGCACGGCCGTACACGTAGGAGGCGTTCAGCGAAGAAGGGTGTCAACATGGACGACCGACAGCCGAAGAGCAGGGCGTTGTTCGACTCCCCCACCGCTCACCAGGCGCAGCACAGCGGTGCTCGAAAGTCACACCGGTACGATCTGTCTGCTTACTCGCACTTACCGTCGCACGAAATTCCACTGCCGCCGACGGACGACGAGGCGGAGGAGGTAGGATCTCGCACCGTGGTGCTCGGGAGCGGATCGACGCAGGATTGGGCGGGGAGCCAGTTCTTTGGAAGTCGGCAAACGACGTTCCGACAATCGTACACACAACTGCTCGAAGAAGGTATAGGCGAGGAAGACACACATGGCGTAGCAAACCTGGAGTACAGCCTCGGTGATAGCCACTGTATCCAGCCCATCGACCTGGGCTCCCTGAGCCATCTTCCTCCTCCGCGCGCGGATCTGCGCTCTCATTCTGCCCAATGACCTCTCCTGCTGACAACGAAAGGGCACAGTCGTCATGGCCGCCACAACGGCCGTTTTCTCAACAGTCGTCAACTTGGCACGTCCGTAGTCGTCGCCGACTTCCATCGCCACGAGTCCTTGCAAGGATGAATCAACAGCCGCACAAAAAAAGAAAGGACCACGCCGACGACGACGCCAGCCTCTCCTCGGAGTCGCGGATGATGTTCCCAGCAAGTCTCTCACTGAAGATACAAGGCTGTCGGCAGGAGGAGGTGATGGTGGTCGACCTTCGCGCGGCGACAAATGAAGACTGTGAAACGACGAATGACGACGCCAGTACGCCACCACCCCGCTGGAATGCTTGTTTCCACCATCCGCCAAAAGGCAAGCCAACTGCCACACGGTGCTGTCATCACGTCCCCCACCGAATTCGAGATTTCAATTTCGAGCCGGGAGGGCCCCTGTGCTTTTACAGTTTTTTTTTTTCCCCTGTCGCCGGCGCCATCCTAAATTTCCCGCCGTCGGCAGCTGGACCACCACCGCGAGACGGACATCACCCAATGGACCAAGGGGGGGGCTGCGGGGCCGGCCGAACATAATATTATGAAGCGGGCTGCGGGGGCCGAAAAGGAATCGTCCTTGGCAGGCCGCCCCGAGGATAGGTGGAATGACGGAGGGAATTTCCTTCAAAACCCCGAAGGGAACTTCCTTAGGCCCCGAGGACGCCCCAAGGAGTGTCTAACGAGCCCCTTACTCATCAGCACGCTGATATCCATGAGATCCTCTGCAGGCGGCCTCCACGGCCTCCACGCACACACCATTCCCTAGCTGAACATTCTCTGGCTGGTTAGTGCTCCTAGACACTGTTCAGAGTTTCAGGATGGCCACACAACTCACCGAATATGAAAAGACAAAACCTATGGTGGGTGTATCTTTCCACATTTTCGTACACGGTACACGCTCCCTTTTGCACATACCTCCAGTACTGTGGCCAGGCCCTATGTTACAAGGAAGCCTACCTCAACTCTCCAGAACCTGAAGCATAATACGCCCCCTTTTCCCTTTTCCCTTTTCTCTTTTTTCCTTTTCTATTATATATTACGAAGCAAATCTCTGAGGTCGGGTACCTCAGAATTCAACCCCCGGCCCCACTACCAGCGTTGAGTTTCGTCAACGCCCGAATCTGGACGTGTTTGTGGAGATGTACGGTTGAGGAAACTCAACGCCATTTTCTGCAAATCTGTCCAGATCCGGGCGTTGTGGAAACTCAACGCTTCCTCAACGCTGCCACTACCGTAGTGGGACTTGGCACCAGGAGGAACTCACTGGGGCCACTGGGGCCTTTTCCCTTTCAACAGGGACCCTGGAAGGCACCGAGGCAGACCAAATCCTCATTGGTTATACTAGGGACGAAAGTTCAAACCCCCACGATCGTCACGTGGTCACAAAAAGTGCACACGTAAGCCCAGACGACACGTCGGTACCGATTGACAGATCTCGCGGAGCACACTCGAGGCCGGGGTGTCCGCGCTTTAGTAGTCGGCCTTTTGGCGCGTCTGAGCGCGGCCTGGCTTCTGTCTACCGTCCCCACGTCCTCCTACTCTAGCGAGCCCGCGCMCCCCCCCCCCCAACCCTCCCTGGCACTCTCCCACCCTGTACCCCAGTCTAGTTACTGCTTTCCGGGGCGTTCCCTCGTCGGTCTCTCCGGCGGCAGTCGAGGGTCTCGATACCGTCCCCTCGTGGCCGTTGTTTGCCACGTCAGCGTTGCTCATTCCTGCCACGTCATTTGTCGCTCTGTGCCACGTCAGCAGTGTTTCTGCTTGCCACGTCAGCAGTTGCGTTAGCTCGGTTCTTTCCATGAGCTTCCCCCTCTCGCCCTCGTGACGGACGCGAATCATGTATGACCTTCTGGTGGGCAGTCGAGGTTTTGTACCGCCCCCTTCACCAGCCGATGGTTGATGCCAATCAATGTGACAGATCACTGTCCAATCATTGGCCGATCAGTTTTGAAAAGAGCACTGCGCGCCAAGTTGCAGAAACTGCAAAATTACCGCGCCAATGCACTGTACGGTGAAAAACGTTTTTTTTAATCGTAAGATGATGATATGGCCATTCGCCGGGATCTCGTTCCTGTTCCATTGAGTGGACACGTCATCACCCGGGCCGTTGTCCTCTCTGCTGCTCATAACATTGTCTTGTAAAACTGATTTTTTTTTTTTTTTTTTTTTTTGGGGGGGGGGGGGGGGGGGGGGGGGGGGGGGGGGGGGGGGGGGGGGGGGGGGGGGAGGAAAGGGGGGGAGATTAGGTGGGGTGTAGGTGGAAAGGGGTGGCGGGGAGAGAGAGGAGGGTGCGTGAAGTTTTACAGCAGGGAGAGATTCTGTCAGAGTTACTCGTCTTCTGTCGACGGCGAGGACTTGATTAATCGAGGGTTTTGGCACACGTCATCATTCCACACCAATCAACAGGGAAGATTGATTGATTGGTCCGCCAGTGATCAGTGGCGACCAATCAACAGGGAAATTTAATTGATTCGACACGTCATCATCCGCCAACAATCATCAGGGAAAATTGATTGATTGGACACGTCATCATTGGTCATCAGCCAACAAAAAAATTGATTAATTGGACACGTCATCATTCGTCATCAGTCACCCATCCAGTCAACTCAATGGCACACCAAATCGCCGTCACTACTTTGCTGCAGGCTCTGCAGGCACTGTATCATCACCCGGACGCAGAATTCCGGAAGGCTGCAAGCAGATGGCTGGAAGATTTTCAACAGGCGGTGGATGCATGGCAGGTATGTGACCTCCTTTGTTCTCTTGTACCCTCTCCCGCTCCCGGCCACCCCTCCCCTCTCCCCTCTTTCCTCTCTCTCTCTCTCTCGTATGTTATGTGTTTTTTTTCCCTTCAGCTATTCCTAATTAAGTAATTTTGATGGGGTAATAAGAGGAGTTGTGCTGCCTTGCTCTTGGCTTAGAGATAGACGTATATTCCTTTTCAGGAAATCGCTGCCTTGCTCTTGGCTTAGAGATAGTGAAAACAACAGTCTTCACTATTTGTCACACTTTCATCGGAAAATTCACCTCGCCTCTCATCTCCTGTCTCCATTACTTTCCCTTTCCTCTTACTCCTCTTCCGTTCATGTCGGTGCTTTCACTTCGCTCTCTCCTCGGTAGTGAAAACAGAAGACGTATTCCTTTTCAGGAATTTTTTGCAGAATATAGATAGATAGGTGGATTGGTTTGATCAATGCAACCTATTTCCAGAAAGAAATAGATTGCTTGATTAATTAATTAATTGGCTGAGGAGCGATCGATTCCCCATGAGCGCAGGGCGGGAAAACAAAACACATCACGGAATCTGTGGAGAGAAGGAATCGCTGAAGCGGTCGTTGATTGCATTTTCCAGTGAAAGACGGACAGATACATGATTATTGGGCTGTTTGCTCAGGGATTTTTTGGTTTCTTCCTGTTTGTTTGAGCGCGGGGCGGTGCTTGTATGTGGGAATCGTCATCCGGGATTGTCTTTTATACCTGTCCTCCGGGTTCTTTTTGATTTCTTTGCAGACAAGAATGTTTTGACATCCTGGTTGGTCTTGTCCCGTCGTTTGGCCTGTGTGTGTTGGGGCGGTGCTTGCATGTGGGACTTGTCATCTGGGATCTGTTTTGTTGCCCCTGTTCTGTATTATTTGGCTGTTCCCTTCCTCTTTTCTTTGCCTCTTTGCCTTTTGGCTGTGTGCAAGTGGGTCGATATGACACAC